GAGGGTGAGGGGGGACATTAATGTAGACAAAACGTCTACCAGATTTAAACAGGGTCAACTTTCCTTCGTTGTCCCTATAACATTCTTCATAAAATTTTGAAAGAATGGCCACTCCCTCTAGTTTCTTAAACTCTTTTTCTATTTCATCATTGGACACTGACAACGGTATGTTGCCAATGATGACTTTTACTATGGGGGAGTCCTTGGTTCCTTTCGTCACCGTCGGGCTGACGCTGAGGATAGCGACAAACATTTTGTTTATTATGATGCCCTTAATAATTAGTAAAAAAATTTTTTTTTAATTTAAAGGCATTACAGTGCTTGGTGGTCTGGCATTCTTCACCCCATAGGCTCGCATCCAATTCTCACTCGATATAGAAGGAACATCAAACCAGATATCCCCCCTCGAAAACAATAAGGGCGTTGGTCTGAATATAACGCCCATCTCCAGCGTAATATAATATGTAGGCGAAGTCTGGTATACTGGTAACACAAGCTGATTTGAAAATTTAATTTGCACCAGTAAGGATTCCTATCCATTAACATAATATCATTATGGATGTTGAAATGCTTAGTGTATCTGCGCACTTTTAAGTCTAGTCCGCACGTGTGTTGGTGGATGCTTTAAAAAAAGAAGTGAATTAAACAATAATATGTTTAACTTGCTGTGAAGATAATTTGAGAAAATAGGGACCCTATAGACGTATGTGATAATGAAGGATAGAGAAAAGGGTTTTTGAAGGGGATGAAAACTGTTTGTACTTCATGAGTAAATTGTTACCTTTGTAGGGTAATGCAGCATCGTAGAATGAAAGTACAAGTAGAACACTACACTAGCATTAATTGCAACCTATTTTCTCTTATTTGTGCACGTTGACATTATTCTTCATACTTAGTCCTACCGGTACTTGTAGTATAGTGGTTAGTTGCTTCGCTGTCGTATGCAGAAAACCCGAGCTCAATTCCCTTCTGGTGGATAATCTTTTTTTATATCGAGTATCTCGGTCTTTCTGCTGAGAGGTTGTATCCTTCCCAGCCCGGGTTGGCCCTGATAGACAGGGTCGATGCCCCCTACCAAATCTTAAGGATCTAAATGTGTGTCAATAGACTGGTAAAAAAAAACACCTTTAATTTACCTACCTAAACGTTATGGTTACCGTTACTCCCCCCATCCCCACCCCTACCTACAACAAACAAACAACAAAACCTACAACAACCAAACAAACAATAACTAAAGACCAAAAAAAAAAAGATAAATAAATGTTTCAAAACAATATGAGCCATCCTGCTTTAGAAACTTTGTCTCCTTTCATTTGTCTCTTCAATGAGTGGTTGGGGGATGCTGCAGAGGTTGTTTTTTTTTTCTTTCAAACATCTATCATTCATATCTCCCCCTCTTTCTGTTATTTCTACATTACTCTCTAGTAGCACCTGGTCCGCTAATCATCGGCTCGTATATGACCTAGTAATTGTGTTGCAAGTGCCGTAAAAGTCTTTCTAAAAGTCGGTACTGTCTCTCTCTCTCTCTCTCTCTCTCTCCAGCGGACGGTGCGACAAATGACGAGAAGGGGGACAACTACAGAACGAACGCCATCATGCTCCAGAACAACCAAACAGGCGATGTCAATGGCGATGCTAACCACGCCAAGAACAACGGCGAAGAGACAACCAAGTTGACCCTAGATTTTGAACCGTCAGGGGCAGCGCAGACAGCAGAGCCTCTCTTAGAAAAAGCGAAGGTAAAGAAGAAAAAAAAAAACGAAGGTCAAAATTGTTCAAGACGGTCACCCATTATGGAGAAAGAAGTGGTTGTCTTAGACAGGCGGATATCTTCCACATTGTCATGATAATATTTAAAACAACCCCCCCCCCCATTCCCCCCAAAAGGAGAGGGGGGGATTTTTTCAACATTGTCATGACAGTATTTAAAACAAGAAACCCTAAAAGGAGGGGGGGGGGGTATCTTCGACACTGTTATAACAATATTTAGAACAATTTGTGTGTCTGTCCAGTGTTGTATAGAACCTCTCTTAGAATATCTTTCATTACCTTGTTTCAAAGTCCCGGTCAAGAAGGTATTTTTCTGTTTTAGGTACTGTGCTTTGTAGCTCTTTGTAATGCCAGCTGTACATAGTTTCCTTTCAGCAGCATCTGTGGTATAACGGTTAAGCACTACACCGGCGTACGCAGAAGATTTGGGTTCGATTCTCGAGAGGGGGGAGGGGATTTTTATCAAGTAGGTAGGTATTTCTGCTAGCACCTTGTATTCCTCTCAACCTGGGTTGGCACTGATGGACAGGGTTGTGACCCGCCTCCTAAATTACCTAAACTGTCTCGATCGGGGAGTAAAAACACCTACATAAAAGTTTCCGCCTTATGACAAGCTCGCCTTCTAAAAAGATAAAGAGTACCGAGGAAGACCACACTTAGAATCTCTACATGGCAAGTTTTCAATTCCATAGAATAATAAGAAGTAACGCTCGGTGTGTATACTACTTGCAGACAGACAAATCAGGCTTCCTGTACTTCACCTCTTCACTACTGGGTAGATGTATCGCTGCCTCAGAATTACAAAGTCCTTTCTCTCGTTTTTGGTCGTTTTGAGTTACTAAAACTATGAGGTCAGAAACCAAAATTCGTTGTTTGCTTTATCAAAATCGTAAATGAATTCGTAGTAGTTATCAAGATATTCATTTTGTCCAAAATCGTGATAAGCGTACAGCAGATCGTTCATGAAAGTGACCAAAGGCCACCTGGTTAAAGTAGTCTTCTATGCCGTATACTTCGTTGAGCTATGATTTATGATTAAGTGAGCTCCTTTTTGAAACGTTATGTTCATTTATTAAAGTTTTTAAGAGGGCTCTGTCTTGTGGTCTAGAGGTACAGCGTTCGCCTCGTCATTCAATTGGTCCCAGGTTGGAAACCTGTCGGCGAGGAAATATTTTCTTCATTTAAAAAAATAATTCTCTTCTGCTCCTCTCTTGTACGCTAGTCATGTTCTGTCATCTACTTTCATTTCCACTTTTTACCACCCCCCATCTCCTCTGGGCTTCTCTCTTCTTTACTCCTCACTCTTTCTACTGCTGCTCTTGGTGCCTTCTTACTGCTCTCTTTCAGCCACACCCCTCATCTTAGGGTAGGTAAGATCTAACACCTTTCCTTCTCGGATAAAGGCAAAGAATCTCGGAGGTACCGTGTGCGAGTTGCGCACATTAAAGTACAATTCTTTGATGATCTTAAAATCGATGACATTTGGCTTCGGCTGCCACCCAGGCAGAATTCAAAACAAATTCCGACAAAAAATTAATATACTCTAGGCAGTATAAAAATATACACAGTGCTTTTGAAATCAGAATGTGGCTGCCTGAAGGCAAGGGGCCCTAATAAGTAGGAAAAACGGTCACATACAGAGTGATAAAAAAACTGTACAACTTTTTTTCTAAATATCTCGCACAAAATATGTACTAGAATGTTGTAACTCGGAACAGATATCATCATTCAAAAGGAATTTTTTAAACTTAAAATTCACAAATAATAAAACTATTTTCGAAAACGGAAAATAGCTTTTATAAAAACAACCTTTAAATGCAAAATGCACCAATTTAAAAGATCTTGTAAGGAAAGTCATGAAATGATTGGTTAGGGGTTTTTTTCCTCGCTTTTATTTAAGAAATCTAATCTTTTCATCCCTGTAACCTTTAAACAGATTAGAGGAATGAATGGAGAACCATGATAGCCGATGTCAGTCGCAGATCTGGCACTGGATAATGATGATTAACCTTTAAACAATATTTCTTTTCTCCTGCAGATTAATTTTTTTTGTTGTAATTCTGAAATTCCGATAACCAATGATCTAGATTCTATATTATATAATATTATGTCCTCTTTTTGAACACGTCGTTCGTAATGTTCAGTAGTGGACTAACACACCAGAGCACCGTACCAACTACCCTCGCCATGTATGCAGTAAATGAGAAGACATCTGAAGACTGAAAAAAGTGCATTTCAAACCACGAAGAAACATGTTAGTCAGACATGCACGCATATTTCTGGATATTTACGTCAAGGGGGATTTTTGGCAAGCTAGCTGCTTAATCTCTCTATAGCGGTATATAATTTATTTCCTATTGGTTCGTGGTAAAGCTGAGTATTTTCAATTCAAATGTGAAGTCAGTCCTGATGTATGGATGTGAAACATGGAACGCATCACAGACTTGCATAAAAAGGATCCAGGTTTTCTTAAACAAGTGTCTAAGAAAGTTATTGAGGATCAGATGGACAGACAAGGTCACCAACGAAGAAGTATTTAGGAAAACAAGACAGATCTCAGACAGAGATGAGGTAGGAAGAAAGAGGTGGCGATGGATTGGACATACTCTCAGGAAGCTACATAAAAACGAAAGTGTGGGATTGGTATCCACAGGGTAAAAAGATCAAGGGGAAGACCGCGTGGAATCTGGACTAGAATCATTGAAATTGATGAATAGAAAAGTGGGAAGACAGGGAATAACATCAAGAGGCTAGCCCTGGATAGAGAAAGGCGGAAAGTGTTCGTCCGTGGCCTATTCCCTTGTGCAGGGTGAGGAATGCAATGATGATGATGGTTCATGATCATGTTTATTTAATTTGCATGCTCCTCACAGTTCAAATTTATCTCAAAATCAGATATGTAAGGTTGTATACGTAGATCTCAACGTTTGTTTTCGGTATTTGTACGGGATTAAAGAAGCAGGAAGCAGATGACTCGGACAACTTCGACTAGAGACAGACATCACCGACAGCTCAATCAGGTTAGGTGAAAAGTTCTTCAAACCTCTTTTTGTTTTCGAAAACGAAACATAATATGAACATTAAAATAAATATGAAAGAATTAAAGAATGAAACAATAAACTAAACCAATATGAAATAAACAAACAGACAACAAGTTAAAACTACACCTTCCCCCTCAGGAGAGAATATCATTTAGAAAATCAGTACCGAACTTGAATGGTAGCCCCATTTCTATCATAGGGGCCCAGAGGTTAAGGTGTTCGCCTCTCTTCAAAGGTCCCGGGTTCGAATCTGGGTAGCGACGGAACAATTATTCTCTAAAATTGCCTCCTTTCACCTCCTTGCCTGTGCTCTAGCAATGTTCTGTTGTCTGCTTTCCTCTCCCCTTTCTGCCCCCACCCCATCACCTTCTTTGCCCCCTCCTCTAGGCTCATGACTCTTTCTGCAGCCTTTCTACTGCTACTCCTTGACTCCTTCTTACTGCGGTCTTTCAGCCACACCTCTGATCTTGTGATAGGAAAAATCTACTCCTAGCCTTCTCGGACAAGTGCGGAAAAATCTTGGAGGTCCTGTGTGCACGTTGTGCACGTTAAAGAGCCCTTGGTTGTCTAAAATCGATAAGAGTAGGCTTCGGCCGCCACCCGAGCACAAATGAAAATTTTCTACCAACTGAAAAGGTTCAATGTATACCACGCGCTCATATGACCTTATGCAGTTGAGCGTGCCGTAACACACATAAAACATAATTTTAAAATTCTAAAATCTTTTCTTTTAATGACGCCTTTGTGCTGAGTTTATAATTTTAAATCGCACATTCAGATTTTTCAGGGATGTCTCTATGTTTTGTGCGATGTTTTTAATGTACCGTTGCGTACTAGTTGATGGATGATAATTAAGCATTTTCCGAGACCCTGTTATTGTTGGATATGAGCCTGGAGATTCAGACATTGTTAAAATTATTTTGTTTACCCTTTAACGACGTGGCACACATATTCAATGCCGAACAGCAGCAGTCCAGGTGCAATTTTGTCGGCACATTATGAACCATCATACACAAATCGCTACCAAAGAATTACAAAGCTCTACCTGATATTTTTGGCTGTTTTGAGGAACTAAGACCATGAGGTTAGAAACCAAATGTTATGCCTGTTCTATCAAAATAGTAAGTTTATTTGGAGTCCTTATAAAGATGTACAAAGAATTGCATTCGAAAAAGCTTTTCAGTTTGTGAAGCTCAACATTTCTGTGTCAAATTTCTCAAAACTAGGTACTGGGTAAATAGAGCTATGTAATTCTAGGGTAGCAAAATCAGGAACACAAATTTCCATATCTCTTGTTGAATGCCTTTCTAGATTTCAAGTAAAGAAAGCAGAAGTGAACAATCTGCATGAATACCGACGTCATACTTCTCTTTTTAAAGTGATCCAATACAGTGTCTTCAGAGTGGCGTTTTTAGTCTAGTGGTTTGGTTCATTCATTCGTCCGGTGCGTTGCCGACTGGCGTAGGCGATCATGGACCTCCACTTCACTCTGTCTTGCGTCGTAGCGATGGTGTATGTTGTTCTATCTGTTCCCAGCCATATTGTCAACTTGTCCAGTATATTTCCCCTCTATTTGCCTCTGCCTCTCTTTCATTCAAACTAGCCTGTAGTTACAAATTTCCTCAATGCTTCTTTCCGCATTGTGTGTCCAATGAAATTTGCCTGTGGCTTTCGTATTTTCGTCATAAGCTGTCGTCTGCAGTTTGCTTCAACCAAGACTTCTTCTTTTGTTTTTCTAACTGTCCATGGGATGCGCAGCATAGGTCTTATGAACCACTACTCTATCACCTCAATTGTTCTTTCCAGCTGTCTACTGATTGTCCATGCTTCGCACCCGTATAATAGGACTGGCTCGTTGTAACTTTTCAGTACTCTTTTTCTTGTTTCCAGTGACAGATTGATATTTGTAATTATCTGTTTCATTTCGTGGAAGATTGCTTTAGCTTGGCAAATGCAGCTTTTATTTTCAGTGCGACATCTCCCATCTGATGCTATAATGGTTTCCAAATAATTAAAATGTAGTGGTTGGGTTACCATACCTACCCGTAATTGTGAGACTGGGGGTTCGGGGATTGGAGCTTGAGCTCGGGCTGACGCTATGTCGATGGGACAAAGCACTTTATCCGAATTTCCCATTTGGCTCGGTCTTTTTGGAGAAGGATGTCAAACTCGGAGGTCCTACCTCTTAAATAACCGAATAGTGTTGACAGGGCAGGCGTTAAACCTATATAATTTCAGCATTTACAGTGTCTTCAGACTTTGTCGAAGGAACAGAGCGTCCTTAATGAGTTAATGCAAATAATTTATTTCACAACAAAGTAAATCAGGCGATCGTCATTTTTTTTTGGGTGGGGCATAAGAAGTTTTTTTGTAAAATTTTACGGCTTGTAAATTTGTTTTGCTTTAGATGAAAAATATACCCAGCTGTCTTGAATAGAAGTCGAGATATTTGTGATTGAACGAGGTGGGGTTCGCCTGGAGTCTGGGGTAAGATTAGCAATAAAATGACATACAAAGTTTGGTGGCTTCCAAAACTTAAGTGTCTCTGGAAACTGAAAATTTACAGGTTAAAAAAACAGCAGCCTTAATCAACGTTTCTCAGTAAAGTCCACACAGAAATGTATTTTTGAATTACCGTATAAGATGTTGAGCTAAAAAAAGGCATTGAAAAAATTGCCTACCGGACCGGCGGAAAAACGTTTGATGCTCCGATTTCATTACTCTGACTAGCACCTGTTTTTTTGCACGGTGTCAAATATTTTGTTAAACTGGCACACTTTCATGACTGAGGTTCCATTGACTATAATTCTTTTATATCTGCAGGTGCCTCGTAAAGCTCCAAAGAGCGAGGCTGGGGCAATCTACGGTAAAGGTTTGGGTCAGACCACTACCGATGGCCCGTCAGACGATGATGATGAAAGCGATGACGATTGGTTACTAGATGATGATGACGATGACCGGAGGGATAATATTCTTGCTCGGGGAGTTATCGCTCTACAGAAGGGGATACGACACAGTTACGAATGGCTGAACAAAATTACTCGAGGCTACCTTGTGTTGTTTGTTCTACTGTGTGGATACATCGGCTACTTCGTTACCGCAATGTGCTATGAGTGAGTCAGGGGTCTCCTTGTAAAAATGTGTAGTAATGAGGTGAAATCAGGCGCTCGTCAAAATTATGAAATCGAAGAAACCAGTATTTTTCCACCCTTTGGGCAATTCTTCTTAAAAGCAAGACAAATCAACAAACCTTTAGGTGATGTCAACATCTCCTTATGCCCTAAAACCCCACTAGCGCCTGTTTCATCGTATGTTGGCACAAAAGATTTTAGGCCTTCGAGATCTCATCAAAACGCCTTAGATCATATGGGAGTCGGGCAGATAGAACTTTGCCCGTCAGGTCAACCATGGTGGAATTGGATAGAGCATTTACATATGGAGTTACTAGATCAAAATAAGCCTAGCTTACCTTCTTAGGAATCGAACTCTTGACATCTGCGTGAAAATCGAATTTACGTTCTCTGAGGCTCTCATATGACCTAATTGTGTTGCAAGTGCCGTTAAACTCTTACTGAAATTGTCTTATATATAAAATTAAAACGTGCTTTCATGATGTCTGTTTCATGTACACGTTTCCTTTACTACCCCCATGTAGGGAGACACGGGTGGGGTGACTTTGTACACTGCCCTTAGTCTCCAGACGACTAATGTAAAGTAGCTGGAATCAGAGTTACGACGAAAATTGAATTTTAAGAACGTATTCTTATGTTGATGTTATTGTTGTATTTCCCAGACTGCAACTATGACAAGGAAACATGAGGTCAGGAAAAAGAAAAGAGCCTTTTAGGTCACAAAAAGATGAAACTCGCTATGCATGCACTAATTAATGATTCATTGTTTTTGCGTCGTGCAGACGCTGACTACGATGTGTAGAATTCTTCTCTAAAAGACTATTCAAAACGGTGTGAAGACATGTTTCTGTTCTCATTGAAGTCTCTAGTGTGTTTGACTTTCATTTTCATAAGCTCAAAGTACAACACTTGAACATCATTTTAAAAAGAAAATTCTGGTTTACAGTTTTAATCTGTAGACCTTGCTGTTTTGATTTGGTTATGGTATTGCGCCTCCCGGAACACTATAACTGTCGGGTTATTTGAGATGGCGAATTTCTGATTCTGCGTTCCTTTCCGTCAGAATGTAACGGGAAGCCATGAGAACCCCTCAAACAGCCCAGGATCAAGAATACACCTATCTGGATTCGAACCTGAAGTAATCGCTTAAAGAGAAATAGTGATAATAGTTTAGCAAATGGCGAGCCTCCATGAATGCCGTGCTCTCTCCAAATGCAGACTTTGACAGACTCGGAAACTAACGTGAAAAAGAAAAACTTTTCGTCACTCTTTATCACTGCCAAAAGTATATTTTGTTAATAAGGGCGTCAATGAGCTATGTTTAACAATAATAAAGGAAGATTTCAAGTCAAAACGTACAAAAGTGCATAAAAACGAATATGTTTGAATAGATATGGTTGGATCACTGTTTTCTGCGATTTCCAGTTAATGTGAAATACATTTCCACACCTCAAACAAAAGATAGAAATATAGATGTATTCAATGTCGAAGTTTTGTCTCTCAAAAATACCATTTAATACATGAAACACACTGTTGTGGGAAGTCACTACTTTTCGTCCGAAGTCTCCCTCACATTTGTCTGATGTCTCCAGCAGAGTGAGGTGGTTTCGGACATCTTAGGGTACCTCAGATATGATACTCTGGCGGTAAAATGTGATAATGCACGAAGCTGATATCGCAAGTGGTGATGCCCAAACGACCATCAATAATGGTGAAATATTTTTCTTAGGCTTAAATTGTTCCTGAAGCGAGCGGTGGTGCAAAACATAAAAAAGTGTCCGAAATCTCCCGGCTTTTCCCTATACATGAAATACTTTTTCCTCACAGGTACGGAAGCGAAGGGTCCAAGCGTCTACTGATTTGCACCATCGTTGGTGTTCTTGCCATCCTCTCGTCAACCATAAGCCGATATATCAGCTCCACAGCTTGGAGACTCTACGGCGCAAAGGAGCTGAACGACAAACATGAACATTGGTTGGAGAAGGCCAGGTTTTTTCTCAGATGGTTGGTACAAGTATTAATCCCAGTGGTCTTCTTTATTCTGGTACTTTTCTTTTGTGTGTATATTTTCTATTTTCAGCTGACTCCCTTGAATTGTGTCGATAGAAGAGTAAAATGTTATATGTGATGAGATATATGTGACCTTTCAGCCTGTTTTGGCCCTGACGGAGAAGGTTAGAGCTCGCCTCCTCTATGACATAAATTGTTTCGATGGGGGCGTAAAATCGTCTTTTTCATAATGTGCAAAATCAGAAAAAGGCTGCTCGTTGTAATACTGTGGATCTAAATCTAAGAGTGCAGACGAAAAACAGGTTAGTTAAATGTTATTAAGGAAAAATCCATTTATAAAGCTTATGGTGTTTCCGCATTAATTAAATGTTGGTGCATCTTATCCGTTGGACAAAATCATATGATTTATATCAAAATGTTAACTCTCACATCTATCTGTGTCTTATTAGCGATGTTACTATACTAGAAAATATTATACCGTAATTCTTCACCTTACATTGCCTAATTCATCCTCAGGTTTCTATACTGTGCATTGTTGGGAGCCATGGTGTATTGTTTCATTGACGAGGGTCTAGATAAACCAGAGAACCTTCGCTCTCTGCCTGGACTTGCTGTCTTTATCCTCATACCCTTGCTTCTCTCCGAGAACCCTGGAAGAGTACGTGTTTACATGTGTACATGAAGTTAGCTGAATAGATCTAAATACTTGACTTGAAAACATGAAGAACAACTAGTGGCCGAACAAGATACGGAAAACTATTAGTATCGGCATTTGGTAATGACATAGTTGAATAAATAATATAATGAATTTCTCTCAAAGTATGCTGAATCGTAGACTCTTCTCAAATCATGTTATGATTCAGTATACCTGATTTGGATTTCACAATGCTAAAACATGTGGGGTTATCGGATTGTGGTAAAAATGCTTGTTCGTATTTCCTTTCTTCTCTGGTGTATTTTGCAAACTTTCCTCCAGACGGCCATCGTCTCTTTCCGACATTATAGACTTTCATACTGTGTTCCTAAAAGCAATTATGACAACAACAAAAAACCAAAACAAAACAAACCAAAACCATTCTTTTCTATTGTAAGTCAACGTGCGTTCCCTCTCATCTCGATCACTTATTCATTCCTTTCACGAGTAAAGAAAAGTATTCAATAAATTATAGTTGTTTTTTTTTAATCCCAAATGCCTTCCCGGCGTATGACAGAGAACATGCCGTAAAAACGTATCACGGTGGGATTTTGGCTTTTCTGACACTGGACTCATTTTATGTAATGTATAATATTCTATCGTTTCAGGTCAACTGGCACACAGTGATTTGGGGCATAGGTCTCCAGTTCCTCTCTGCAGTCTTTGTCCTCAGATGGGAGACGGGGCGAGATGCCATCATATGGGTCCAGGATCGATTCCAAGAGTTTTTCGACAACGCGGATGACGGATCTAGATTCCTCTTTGGCGAGAGTTACAGGGACCATTACCTCATCTTTGGGGTATGGATATTTCTGTTTAGGAACAGTTGAAAGGTGTTTGCAACACTATTAGATCATAATGTAAGTGCCGAAGTTTAGAGGTGTCATAAGAGAGTAAAAGTTGTTCCCGCATCCGATCCAGACATTGAGGATTGTCTTGTGAGTGAGACAACTTTCTGGGCCTTCGGCATATTGTGGTATGGCGGCCAGTTCTTTTCCATGACGCCTTTACTTCCCAAACTCGAAGTCAGGTACCCATTACTGCTGGGTGGGCAGGAGAGAGCGAAGAAAATCCGTGTCCGAATTGAGGCTCGAACCCGGACTTTCCGCTTCGGAGACGAGCGCACTAATCGCTCGCCACCACACCCTCTATAATAAAGTAACAAACACCAAAAAAAAAGAAAAAGGAGAGATAAGGACGATAGATGTTTTATAGGAAAGATGGAGCATACCACAGAGTACCCACACACCACCCATAAGGAATTTATAGATTTTACTTTATTATTTAACATTATGCAAGCTTAATGCTGTTTGGTCATTATTCCATTTTTTTCTTCATTAAGCGTAATAATTTTAAGATTAAAAAACCAAAGGGAAGAATTACTGATTCACTAGTTCTTGTTATTGCTTGTTTTCTTTTCCTTAGACATATAATCATTTAGCGAATCATAATATTGTAAATTGCAAGCATAATGTTCTTCGTGGACACAGCCTTGACCTGACAGTGCTGCAGGCCACATCTGGGGTGCCATAACGTCATTAATTGAAAAGGGGGGAAAATTGCCCCAAACACCTTGTAAAATGCCGAGTTCTTGGTTTCATTGTTCTGACGAGCGCCTGGTTACACCACGCTGCCTCACATTTACTTTTACCCATGTTAGTCAATTGCAGGCAATCCATATTAATGTTCTTCATGAACGCAGAGCGGACAGTGCTGGTGGCCTCTTTTTGGGCCGCCATGACATCACGCGCGAAGTCACTTTTATCTTAAATTATGAACGTGGAAGAGGTCAAAAGTTTCCTTTTACCCACCTTTTTCTATTGCAGGCAATCCCTGTCATCTATTATCTTTTTTGTGGTCGCCGAATTTTGCTATTCAAAAGACTTTTTAATGGCTGCATCGAGCGACATGCGGTTTTCGACCAAAAAAATTCTTTAAAATATTCTCCAGATCATGACGCCCTTGGGTTTTTTTCAGTTTTGAGACAGTTTTGCTGCAAAAAGCTAAAATTTTTATTTCGACGGTCGCTTTTGTAGGCGACGCTACTGTCTCTGTAATTTTAGAAAATCCGGAAGTGATACTTCGCGAGGCGCATTTTGTTTTGGGAGTATAGATCTAGATCTAGAGCTTCTAATTTTTTGCTTCTCTCAAGATTTATTTCCTTATTCCAGTAGAGTGTAAATATAGTAGGCCAGTGACGTTTAGTTGATATTAAAGCACCGATCATTCCTTTCTTCGAAAGGGGGCCCAGCTAGTATTCTTTAATGAACGCAGCACTGACAGTCACATTTGGGTGGCCTTGATGTCATGTGCCAAGACTCTTATTATCTATTTCATGAGTGGGGAAGGGGTCAAAATATACCCACATTTATCAATTGCAGGCAATCCCTATCGTGTTCTTCATGAATGCGGCGCTGTCAGTGCTGGTGGCAACATCTAATTTTATGAATGGGGAAGAGGATGAAATTTATGTTTTCTTAACCAACCTACGTCAACTGCAGGCAGTCCCAATCATGTTCTTCTTGAACGCAGCACTGACAATCACATTTGGGGCACTATCATGACATACGCAAAAACACTTCTATCTTGTTTTATCTATGGAAAGATGTCGAAATTTACTTTTTCTCAACTAACGTTCATCCATTGCAGGCAATCCCTATAATATTCTTCTCGAACGCAGCTCTGACAGTCACATTTGGGTCGCTATGATGTCACGTGCCCAGACTCTTTTTATCTATTTCATGAATGGAGAAGGGGTCAAAATTTACTTTTTCTTAACCAACGTTCGTCCATTGCAGGCAATCCCTATCATGTTCTTCATGAACGCGGCACTGACGGTGCTGTACTACCTGGGCGTCATGCAGTGGCTCATCAAGGCCGTCGGAAAGATGCTCAAGTTTGTTCTTGGGACAACCCCCGTGGAGTCAACCTGCGTGGCCACCGGGATCTTTTTGGAAGGGGTATGTTTGGAGAGAGACTGGAGAGGAATCATAGAAACTATAGAGAGAAATGTTCTGAAAAGTTGAAATATATGGAATAATCTCAAGAAGCTACAGGGACTTTAGTGAAAAATGTAGAGAAAAGTTGAAAAATATGGAATGATGTCAAGAAGCTAAAGAGACTATAGAGAGAAATGTAAAGAAATGTGGAAAGATGTGAGGAATGAAGTCCAGAATCTATCTCAAGATCGGGGAAAGCGAAACGGGTTTGTTCTGAGGCTTACACCCTGGTCCAGGGTGAGAAAGGCAGTGTTAATGGTAATGACGTTTTGAGAGAAGAAAAATGGTGGTAGGGGGAGGGGTTGGAGGTGCAATGAAGGAACGAGTGGTTGAGCGTATAGTTGGTTAGGACGAAATAATAACTACCCGACGAATGAACAGTCGAACAAACTAAAGGAAGGACCAAAAGACCGAACGAACAAATGTTAATAAGAACGAACGAATGAACGAACGAAGAACCAATTAACTAACTAACTAACTAAATGTCTAACCAATTGAACTAATAATCTCTCTCTACACCCCCACTCCCGTTCCGTCTCTCTGTCTCCCCCCTCTCTCTCTCTCTCTCTCTCTCTCTCTCTCTCTCTCTCTCTCTCTCTCTCCCTCTCCCTCTCCCTCTCTCTCTCTTTCTTCTTCTCTTTCTCTCTCTCTCTTTCTCTCACGGTGCTCAAATATATTAATTTGTAAATATATCTTCCATGTTAGTATTATATTTTATATTAGGGTCAATTTATATTATTCGTGTGACTGTAAATCTGCAAGTGTGTGAGCATGTTTGTGTGCGTGTGTGTGTGTGTGTGTGTGTGTGTGTGTGTGTGTGTGTGTGTGTGTGTGTGTGTGTGTGTGAGTGTGTGAGTGTGTGTGTGTACGTGTGTACGTGGTGAAACACTAAACCAATGTGCCAGGATCTTGACAATAAAAATTTATCTTTTCTGATCTTATCTTACGTGCAGATCACGACCATCATGGTGCTGAAGCCCTACCTTCCCTCCCTTACCAGGTCGGAGCTGTATGCTGTCATTGTGTCCGTGTATTCATCCCTTGGCGGAGCCTATCTCGCCATCCTTTCAGCCATGGGAGTGAGTAAAAGGCACACATTCTTCTCTTTTTTTTTGTACGTGTCTTACGGCGATATTGATATTCGGATTTAAGCCTCAACACGCGGCTCCCATCCCGTCCTGTTTGGTATTTGTGTCACGACGTGGTAGAATCACACGCTCGTCAATTTTTGGACAAGTGGAGTGATTGGTATAATCTTGAAACGTGTTAACTTATCTTGTTTTCCGGACAAAAACACCCATATTTCTTGAATAGAAGTCGGGAGGAGTTACGTTTAGAGGAGATGGAAGTTTCCTGGATGTAGAGGCGCAATAAGCGAAAAAAAGGCCTCCCAAGTTTGGAAGCTTGCACAATTTGAGAGTCCTTAGAAACTGAAAATTTACATTTTCAGTAAAATCCACAAGGGAATGTGAAGTTTTAAGGGGACTTAAAAGGTGTTGAGCCAAAAAAACCCATCAGAAATTCGATAAAAGTTGCCAGAGCGGAGGAGAATTGCCGATTTCATCGATTTCATTATTTTGAAGAGCGCCTGATTTCACCAGGATTCCACACATTCCACTAATCAGTGTATATTATGTGCATACTCCATTCTACAGGTGTCTTTAGAGTTTCTCATCCCCGCCATGCTCATCTCCGCACCGGCTACATTTGCTGTAGCCAAGCTCATGGTTCCAGAGACGAAAAAAATACAGGATCTTGAAAAGAAAAACGAGGAGATTTCCATTGATGAAAAAGGGTAGGATGATTTTGATTGATTTCGTTTTTGGATTTGCTCGCATCAAGAAAGAGCGTTTTGTTTTCAGTAAATAGCTTGATCCTTTCCATATTTAAGCAATATTTTGAAATACTGCGATATAATGAAATGATATTAAGAACGAACGAATGGATTTTTTAAAAATCGTGCATGCTTCTTAGGACCTGTGAATGCTGAAAACCAGACACAGTTCGGACATTTGACTATATTGCCGTTGCGTGGACTCAAAACAGACTTAATCTGTTCCCGTTATATAGGAGAAAAAATAAATGATTGAAATCACAGTGAAATAACAAGACTGGCGTTCCATTGTCTGGAAACATATTTTAATACAACAATTAAAGGTATCACTGTAGATATGTGTCCTGCACTAATAGATAATTGGGGTCTTAAATATAAATCCACATAAAGTCACGAACTCGGATTGAAAGAAAGAAGTAACAATGGTGCTTGTAAGTCTATTCAACTCACTTGATTTCCTTTCATTACTACTGTTCATCTTCACTTATATACACACACACACACACACACACACACACACACACACACACACACACACACACGCACACAAGTGCATACCTATACCCGTACTCAAATTATGGAATGGCACCCCCTTGAAACTTTTGAAGTTTGTATATACCTATTTATGTGAGTGTGTGAGCGTGTGAGTATGCCTGTGTGTGTTCTTGTGTGTGTGTGTGTGTGTGTGTGTGTGTGTGTGTGTGTGTGTGTGTGTGTGTGTGTGTGTGTGTGTGTGTGTGTGCCAAGGCCAGCGCCGCCTTTGGGAGGCTTCGCAAGAAGGTCTGGGAGCGCAGAGGACTCAGCCTCTCCACAAAGCTGAAGGTCTACGCAGTGGTTCTTACCATTCTTCTCTACGCCAGCGAGACCTGGACTGTCTACAGCAGACAAGCCAAGCAGCTCAATCGATTCCACCTGAGCTGTCTTCGTAAAATCTTCCCCATCCAAATGCAGGATAAAGCCCCTGACACTGCTGTTTTAGAGCGATCCGGGACCCCAAGCATCTACACCATCCTTCACAAAACGCAAGCCAGATGGGCAGGCCACGTGATCAGAATGGTGGACAGCCGGTTGCCAAAACAGTTGATGTATGGAGAGCTGCTCCCTGGCAAGCGCTCAGTTGGAGGGCAGAAAAAACGTTTCAAGGACTGCCTCAAAGTCTCTTTAAAGGAACTTGGCATCCTGAACGATTCGTGGAAAACGCTGGCCCTAGATTGTGGCGATGCAATCTAACGAAGGGAGCCAAAAGCAGCAGAAGCCAAACGAATCGCCGAGGCCAAACAAAAACGCAACGTGCGCAAGTCTAGACCTGTCTCCACCACAAGTCCAACAGGAGACTACCCGTGCCCACAATGTGGGTGAACCTTCCAAGCCCGGATAGGACTAATCAGCCATCTCCGGACCCACAGTCACCGTCAATAGACCAATTTGTGAAGTCAGGGTCATCTTCATACGCGAAGGACGAGCAACAACATGTGTGTCTGTGTGTGTGTAAACACACAGAGAGAAGGGAGAGGGGGGGGAGTATGTGTGTTCGGTGTATGGGTTTGTGCGTGTGTATGTATGTGTGTGTGCGTGTGAGAGAGAAAGAGGGGGAGGAGGAGGGGGAGAAACATAGAGTGGGCATAAGATAGACAAATAGGTAGATTCTAATTTAGATTCTAATCTACGTACATGTTATTGTAACAGCTTATTTGCAAAGCAGTGTCTCTTATTGGTAAGTTAACTTTTTTCACCTTCCTTTTTAAAGATTTGGATAAAGAAAAAAAATCTGAAAAGGATCCAACTATATGACTTATGAAATTACTACTCTTCTTTTACAAGGTGCATGAAACAGTATGTCCCTTATGAGTTAATCCCCTTTGTTTCGTTTTGTTTTTTTTATTTCGTTTTTTTTTTCCTTAGTAAATACATCAACGCCATGGATGCAGCACAAACGGGAGCTATGACCATGTTGTCCGTAGTTGGGAACATTGCTGTCGTGCTCTTTGCCTTCTACTCCTTCATCGCCTGGGTCAACCACACTCTCAGCTGGTTTGGAGATCGAGTAGGAGTCGACAACTTAACTATAGAGGTGGGTATCCGAAGTGTCCACAAGCGGATAGTTAGAGAACGTTAGGAGTACGCCATTGGTCGATATTTATAGTAGCAGCCATCTTTTGTTGACCTATTCTTTAACATACATAATACAATACGCATTATCATAAGATTTTGTTAAAATGAAAAAAAAAAGCTTTCTTTTTTTACTCCACTTTTTTTTCAGATCAGACAGTGAGACAGTAGGTCTGGAACTTCTTTAGTCTTTTTTCAGAATGAAGAACACTGATTTATGACACAAACAAGATGGCTGTTACTATAAATATTGGCCAAGGCCGTACTCCTAACGTTCTCTAACTATCCGCTTGTGAAGTGTCCTGGTTGTGTTATACCAGGTGTGAGCTTCTGTGAAATAGATTCAGTTTACCTTGACACACACTCGGTTGATTTATTTGGAGATCGAGTAGGAATCGACAACTTAACTATAGAGGTATTTGTACGAAGCGTCCTTGATATCGTTCCAGTTGCGAATTGTGAAATAAATTCAGTACATGTTTACACACTCTCAGCTAGTTTGGAGATTGCGAAGGAATCGATCGACAACTTGAAGATAAAGGTAACAATGTCTCTGAAGTTTCCTGTATATTCCTCCAGGTGCAAACTGAGAAATTCAGTTTACCTTTGTGTCTTATGCTAACGTGAGAAATAGTTATACATTCACGATTAAGTAATCGAAATAAAGCGTACATGCTCAGAAAAAGTAATACAATGGTGAGCAAACTTGGTTTTGTTGACAACTCTGTCAAAAACTGGCTGACCGTGACTGCACAGCTGTGTACCAGGAAAGCTCCTAACTCTATCCAGAGCTATGTACAGTCAGCCTGTCGAAAAGGGGGAATTGGGTACACATTTAATTATTTTGTTTTCCAAAACCGTGTTAATCACAGTAGAACAATTTATCTGAACACCAGACTACAACTTTTGAGCTGTGGAACCTGAAAAATCCTTCCAGTTTGCAAAGACAATATTTAGACAATCCATGTCAAATACAGTGGCGTCCAAAAGATACTGGAGAATGTAATCACCCAATCATCGTGTTATAGGCTTGCACTACACGCCCATGCAGCGTGCCAATTTAGAGCTGGATAAATTCTGCATCATCTGACAAATGAATATTTCATCTGTATTATGAGACGCCCGAGATATGGTCACTCAAATTTGACCTTAAAAACTCACGCTTGTAAAAGTTGTGCGAAATCATAGAAACGCAAAAGTGTATTCTCGCGTATATGGAAGTGCATCAACATTGATGGAATGGACATAATGCATAGAATGCCAGATGAGAAGAGAATGTTATTGTCTCTAAATTGAACAGCATCTTCCCATGATATTTTCTAACAGATTGGAGAACAGAGTAGTTACACATACCACACAAAAGCTAGACTTAACGTGTGTTCATTAATATTTTTTTTTTTTACAGACACATGGACTGTGTTAGTTAGATTTTGGACATAATCATCTTTCAGTGAGAAAAGAGGCCACGAAACTGCCATGGTTTTTGAGTGGTCTGGGGGGGGGGGGTGAACAGGCCCTCCCTCATGAGAATCACTGGATGGCTTGGTTTAGCAGACTACATCTCGCAAGTGCAGGAGCGTCATGTCTTACCCTTATTTTCGCCATGGCGTCATTCAAGCAGACATCTCCATAGCAAAGAACTTTCTCATAGAGCCAATGCCGCAAGTTGATTCTTTAGAAACCAAATCAACTCAACGGTTACCAGTAAATAGCCCCGATATGAATCCTACAGGTATGTGAAGAGTGAATTACCATGAAACAGCAGCTGAAGAAACGCGACTTTGCTCCCATTTCAGACCCTTAATTTATAACTCTCTCTGACATTTGGGAAGAAATTACAGATAGTTAGGTCTAAAATCAAATACAGTTGATGCTCAAAGGGTTCGTGCTCTACATAAACTAATGCTCCTAAGCAAAATAATAACGAGCAAATGTAATGTTAAGTCCAAGTTTTGCATGGTATTTGTGATTACTTTGTTTTCCATTTTGTTTAAAACTATCGTGACAAAATACCAAAATAGAATATAATAATATTGTGTATTGTAATACAAAATTCTCCATTCATTGGATATGTAAAGTATGTCTATTCTATTAATATTGATGCTCCTCAATAAACGCGAGGAGACAACTTTATTTTTTTTTTGATTTCGCACAATTTTGCCAAGCTTGATTTTTTAAAGTCAACTTTGAGTGACCATATATCAAGCGTCTCTTATCATAGATGATCCATTAATTTCTCTGATGATGCAGAATTTAATTAGCTTTAATTAGTATGCTGCATGAGTAGGCAATGCGATGCTTTAACACGATGACTAGGTGATTATATTTTCAAGTTTCTTTTGGACACCACTGTATAATAACAAATAGCATTTGTATAGAGAATACCCCATCTCAACAGCAAGCTCTGTACGCTTTACACTATATTATTATCCCAACAGAACATTGAAAACTCTGAAATTCTCAGCTTCCCGGGAAGCATACAATACAAACAGCTGATTAAGCGCTCATACACTAATAAACTGAAAAGATCTTTCGCTGTCCATAGCTGGGTACCCCAAAAACGCTAATGCCAATGCTATGGGTTTATTTTTAACCCGTTCCATGCCTGACCCAAGGCTGTCTTGATACATTTGGTAGAATTATGGAGTTTTATTTTAAAAGAAAGTACACCCAGCTTCGTACACTGTTCAGGGCAGCCAAAAACAAACAAACAAACAAACAAACAAACAAACAACTCAACAACAACACATTTCTGTCTCGTAATAGGCAGTATCTTTCAATATCTTTAAAACACTTCCCGACTTTATTTCATGGCCTTATCGATACCAGGCTAAGAAATTATGTGCACCATGTTTTAAACTATCAGGTGGAATCGATTACCCAGTTTCATCTAAAAACACAGGCTACACTGTCTTTTAAGGTATTACTCTAGAATTATAGAACCGGCCTCGAAGCGCAGCGAAAAGGTTAACCACTTTTTTGATACCCAGAAAAATCAACGCAAAACAATTTATGACGTCTCATTTTCTGTGTCGTCCTCAGTACATCTCCTCTTACCTGCTGTATCCTGTTGCCCTGGCGATGGGCGTGGAGCCAGAGGACTGCAGGAATGTCGCCATGTTGTTAGGATACCGTATAGGTATCTACAACGTGTTCGCGTTCTTCAAGGTACGATAATATTATGGTCATTACTAACAGCTTGATAGAAACAAGAAGTAATGACTGATAGTTACATACAGAGAGATGGATAAAAGTAGATATAGGTTGACAGGTAAACAGGTAGAACGATGGATGGAAGGATGGGTGGATGGATAGATGGATGGATGGATGGATCGATCGATATGTAGTAGTAGTAATGATAATAATAATAATAATAATAATAATAATAATAATAATAATAATAATAATAATAATAATAATAGTAATGATAATAAAAAATAAATAGTGGTGATGATGATTACGATGATGTTGATAAAAATGATAATAGTAATAATAATAATAATAATAACAACAACAACAATAATAATCATAGTGCTCGTAACAATGATAGAATAACTTGTCTCTGTGAAATTCAGAAGCCCACGACAATATTTTTTTTTAGGGGGGTCGCGGTGTCGATTAGAAATAACAGACAAAGTTCTCCTTCAGCCACCCAATTCTTAATTAGTATGTTTTCCTCGCATGAAGTCACGGCTCCTCCCATGTTATGTTTGTTTTAGTAGAGGTTTTGCGGCGTTCGTCTCTGCTTAAGGTCATATGAGCACCAAGGGGTGGATGTCAACAGAAACGTCCTTACAGGGAATCAGACTTACTCTGCTCACCTATCTAGCTTCAGCAGCACAAAGTGTGCTTCGACTATCAAGGCATCCCGGAAATAGCGGGTCACAAGAGAGTGACAAACATACAAAAGATGTAGAGGAAAAATGACTATAGTAAGGCAAGGATTTGGAAAGAAAAAGCGGCAGTTCCCTGTTGCAGGACAGGCACAGTTATGAGCATGACGTTGTTGAATCAGCCCATTTACAATTACAATTTTACTCTGCATAAGAACTCGAGATGTTAATCTTCCCCTCCCCCCTTTGGGAATGGCCTAAAGACACTTCAGTCAGTCGCTTCCCATGTTAGCCGCACAGGGAGTGGACATGCTGGGTGTGAGTGGTTGGCCAAGTACGTTCTAAGTTGAGGGCTGACGTAGACCTTTACCACAACACGCTTCCTTAAAAATGTTGGCTTGTCTCAAATCAACGCAAATTGGAGGGGAAAGTTTGCTTCCTGAAAATATACTTTTTAAGTTACTTGTATTGCAATATTTTCCAACAAAACAAACTTCACAAAAAGGCATATAATTACCCCCCCCCCCCCCCCCCAAAAAAAAAAAAAAAAAATTATTAAAAAAAATTTAAAATTTTTTTTAAAAATCTTAAATATGCTTGACAAACAAGAAAAAAAAGGTATCGTTTTCCATACTCGTCCTCAGCTTGCAGAAATGAAGATGAACAAAATGAAGTTCGCTCAGTACATGCTCGCCACCAACTATACAGGCCCAATTACCGAAACACGAGATGACCTTGTTCTTGACATGTGGAATGTCACTCTCAAAGACGGCTTTATCAGTGTAAGTCCATGTAGCTTCCCACAGGCAGTAGAGAAAAATAGTTACCTCAGAATTACAAAGTTCTATCTGACATTTCTGGCCGTTTTGAGTAACTAAGACCATGAGGTCTGAAAAAAAAATGCTCTCTCTGGTCTATAAAAGATTCGTAAGAATATTAAGAGTCGTTTTCAAAATATTCAAAAAACTGCATTGGAAAAGGCTTGACATGCTGTGAAACCCAAACATTTTGTACCTCAAAATTCTCAAAATTGGGTAAAGAGCAGATAGAACTTTGTAATTCTGATGTAACGGAAAGGATGAGTCTGTTCTTGTACTGTGTTGTTGTAGTTCTCCAAGTCGATGCCACACAAACAGGACCGTTGAGTCATTTTTGTTTATATATAGTTTTGAGCAAAATCTGGGGAACAAAATAAATTGTACAATGGGCATTTTATTTGTTCACTGATTTCTATTATGTGCTTATCGTTTATGGTGTTTTATAAAGGTTTTATTTATTTAGTTTCCACTTCTTGATTTTAGATATTGATTTCAGTTGACTAGTTATTGTACCCTCTTTTGATGAGATTATTTTTAGTTCTTTTTATGTTTCATGTAAATCTTTTTAAAAATAAATTGCATCTATGTATTTATGTATTTATTTATTTGTGTGTCTGTGCATGTGTGTGTGCTTGTGAGTGTGTGTGTGTGTGTGTATATGTGTGTGTGCGTGTGTGTGTGTGTGTGTGTGTGTGTGTGTGTGTATGTGTGTGTGTGTGTGTGTGTGCTTTGGGGGGGGGGGTTAATATCAGTAAAGAAACCTCTTGTTCAGTTCCTTAGTCTTTTGTGTAACCCGAGTCATACTCCACGACATACTGCTATACCCCCCCCCCCTCACCCCACCCTCTCACCTTTCTGTTCTCTACAGGATCGCTCTGAAGCTATCGTGACCTACTGCCTATGTGGCTTCTCCAGTTTTCTGAACGTGGCCGTCGTATCTGGCATCATGTTCTCTTTGGTTCCGAAGCGGAAGAAATGGGTTGCCTCAATGGCTTTTGGCAGTTTAGTGGCTGGAAACCTGGCCAACTGTATGACTGCCTGTTTTGCCAGTAAGTAATTGTTTGCTTGATATATCAATATAAATGTACACTGTATCTATGTATGTATATTATTATTACATATATGTAATGACAATATCTTTGAGAACTGAAGCTTCTTTAGTCAGGACACAGATTATGAAGACCTTCGAGTTCAGTACTTGGTTGCTTGTTAGGCAGGGGGGTGACCCTGAGTTCTATGTAGATAAAATAGACATATACATAAAATCAACTGCGTTATGGGATGAGATATTACGGTCCCTGGGTTCTTCTTCTTCTTCTTCTTCTTCTTCTTCTTCTTCTTCTTCTTCTTCTTCTTCTCCTTCTTCTTCTTTAATTGGTGTGTCCTTGTGCTTGTTGTTGTTCTTTCTCTTGTTATTCTTGTTGTTCGTCTTATTGTGCCAAATCTGAAACAAGATTTCAAGATCACTGTTCCTAAATCATTTCTCCGATCAGTTGCATCAAATGCCCTATATTATCCTGATCTATTCTAGTCATCCATCTGTTCAAATTCTCACAATAATGTATTCCTGGTCAACCTCTTCTTCTTTTGCTTTTTATTATTTCAAGAGGGCAAGATGTTCAAGGCCTTATGTCGACCCAAGTGTGCTTAGAACCATATGTGTACATTTCTTACTGTGTGCGTGTGGGTTGTTGTTTTTTTCAAATTACTGATCACCTCACCCTTGCTTTTATCAGCATTGCTTGGTTAATTTGATTTCTCTTCCTTCCATGAAATTCTAAACAGCCTCCAAGAGAATCATATTCCTGTTGTCCTGTTTATTTTCGCTATCTAAAGTGAGTGTACAGCTTTAACATCTGCATAGAAGGGAAAACTGAACATAATTTTTCTCAAGCTGTATTTCTTCTGTTCTTGAGGTGTATGTATTTTTTGGGATTTGACTCATTACAAAAACAAACTCTTGGTTGTACCTATTGCTGTTCTTCGTTTTATTTCTGTAGTAAATTTGCCATCAGATTTAATGTTTAATATCCTCGATAGTCAAATGTTTGAACTTATTTACTTTCCTTGCCTTTTTCTTATGATATCACTTTGGATATTCACTGCTTGCTTTCACTTTTTAAAAGAAATAATATTTATCATTCAATTTGTTTTCTTCTCTATAGAAAAAATATCTAGTTTAATTTCAGTCCCATTTGAGGATGAACTATTTAAACTGTGTTTTTGGCATATTTGATGTTATGAATATTTCCTATATCCACTTCGAGACAAGTTCTGTCTTTTGTTAATGGAAAAATTGCTTCGCTGATGCCATAACACAATATTGCCTAGTTCTTTTAACATACTATTTTTGTTTTGTATTTCATGAGCAGAAAGGAGTACACGGGTGACAGCATTTCTTTTTCTGTTATTCCTTAAATCTTTTCTGTCTCTTCTAAAATGGTAAATATTTTATTTTGTCTAACTTTATCATGGAGGACACATGTACATAATTCTGTGTTTGAGTGACCATAGCAATTTTTAGCTTTGTCACGAACAAAGTCAATGGCTTTATTGTTGCCTTTATTTTCAATTTTCATTGACGTTGTCGATTGTATCTAAGGTCAAGGTATATAACTGTACTTTACTGGCTTTAAATAATCAACCAATGAAAGTGCAAAATAAAGATGTTCAGAGACCTAGCATCAAGCCCACTGTTCATGTGTCTTTCGTTTTTAGCTCTTGTTGTCATATGGTGAGTTTAAACAGTCCCGGGAGGATAAACAAAAATACATACTGTGAATAAATGTAAACGTGAAGTCATTATTACCCAGGTGTGTGTGTGTGTGTGTGTGTGTGAGAGAGAGAGAGAGAGAGAGAGAGAGAGAGAGAGAAAG